TTGACTGAAAGTTAATTCTACTCATTTGAAAAGAGTTTTGAACTCAGCGTTGAAGGTAATGAATGAATTAAATGCATCATTACTTCAACTTAAATGGAGTAAGTTTACAGTACTCATATAGATTATTTTTGAACTCAAATGGTTTGTAGAATCGGTTTCCTCAAAAGGTCTGAGTTGCCTTAACTTGTTGGGTTTTACAGTGCTCAGTTGGTTTGAGTTCTTTTCATTTATTGGGTTTTACTGTGCTCAAATTGCTTCGTTTACTCAAATGGATCAAGTTCACAGCCCTCATTAAGATTAGTTTTTAAACTTAAATTGCTTGTTGCAATCGGTTTCCTCAAATGGTTACCTAAATGGTAAATGGTTACCGGTTTTACAGCGTATACTTAAATGAAATCAGATGTTTGGAAAACTTTTTTTTTCTTTTATCCAAAAATGCATTGCAACTGTGTCTATACTTTTTCTATAAAATCTATACCTTTTTTGCCTTCAGTCGTTTCATTATTTGCAGCACGGTGGCTCAGTGGTTAGCACTGTTGCCTTACATCAAGAAGGTCACTTGTTTAAGTCCCAGCTGGACCAGTTGGCATTTCTGTGTGGAGTTTGCATGTTCTCCCTATGTTGGCATGGGTTTCCTGTGGGTGCTCAGTTTTCCCCCAAGGTTTAAAGAATTGGGTTAACGAAATTGGCCGTAGAGTAATGAGTGTGAGTATATGGGTGTATCCCAGTACAGGGTTGCGGCTGAAAGAGCATCCGCTTCCTAAAACATGCCGGAATAGTTGGTGGCTCATTCCGCTGTGGTGACCATGGTTAAAAAAGGGACTAAGCTGAAGGAGAACGAATAAATGAATGAATGTCACATTATTCGTCAGTACAGATTATCTTTAAACATGAAAATACATCTATCAGTGTAAAACGTAGATATCAGGTTTGCATTGCTGAGTGAAACCACTCAAAACATTGAATGGATCTCTGATTGTGGTCAGAGCTAATGTTATAGAAAGGCCTTTATAGAAACCTACTTATATTCTTTTACCAGATGTGTGTGCATGTGTGTGTGTGATACTTTTCTTTCAGTCAAACTAAGACTGTTATTGTCATGGTTTACATCACAGTTAATAAGCGCTAAAATGTTTTCTTTCTCTGTCTGAAATATGAGACCCCTTTTGGGCATCCTCTCAAAATTGAAAAGAAAAAAAAAAAACATATTCTCAGAGCTTGAATGTCATTTCTGTTTTGTGTTACACTTCAGAGTAAATATGTCCTATGGCTTTTGTTCCATTCACATACAACAAAGGGTCTGTAGTCACAAACTGCAGTGTTTTTGTAAGTGTCCATCATGATCGGCTCACTGTGGTCTTCTGAGGTTACGTTTACACTAGTTTTTTTTTTTTTTCGATTTAACGCACATCTTTTGCTGCATTTATGCTTGGCATCCACATTATTCAAGAGTTTTTGACCCTCAAAAAAGGACACTTTTGGAAAGACTGTAGACCCTGTTTGAAGACTCTGGCGTTGCGTTTTAAGCATAGAAGAAGCAAATGCTAAATTTTAAGATAAGAGGCCTACATTCACTTTGGATTTGGATTATTGTGGGCTCTTTGCTGATTTGTCAAGACCTGATGATATGGCCATTACATTGGGTTTTGTTTATTTTTGTGCATTTTAATTCACTTCAAGAAAATCCTGTATGTTGTCCTTTTTTAGAAAAACACAAAAAGTATACTAATTACAGTTTAGAGTGATGTCTTTTATGTATATGACTGAATCAAAGAGTATTTTAACTTGATTTAATTATATGATAAGAAAAAATACGAACCAAAAATACAAACGTAATATAAAAACAAAGATATTCTCCATGTAACAGTTGGTTGATAAAATATCATGAAAACAATTGCATTTGTTCTGAATGAGAGATGTTTGATTAGTTGAATTTAAAAGGCACCTATTTTATCCCTTTTTCAAGATTTAAGTTGTCTTTTGTGTCTCTAGAATGTGTCTGTGAAGGTTCTGCTCAAAACACTCATCAGATTATTTATTATACTTTTCAGAATATTAGAATTTTCTACTCTAAACACATTGTAGCTGCTTTTTTGGGCTTTTTATCATTTGTATGTGTTTTTAAAACCTAGAGTTGTATAATGATTTTAAAAACATTCAGGCTTAGGAAATTGAACCATTTGTGACCTTAACTAAGATTCATTTTATTGAATTATTTTATTTTTTATCATTCAATTACTCTACTTGAATACTGTTAGACTCGGGAAATGATAACACACTTTATTTTTGTTGTATCTTCTTCTTGATTGTATTTATAGATTGTTATGCATGAAAATACAACACATGCATTTACAGAAATGCACTGCAAATAGCAAAGACTACAATGAAAATGTGTTGGTGAACCCCAAGAAGTTTACAGATTGTTTATTAGATTGTATGGAGATGCAAATAGTAAACATCTGTTCATCAATCTTTAAATAAACACGTGCATAAAAAACTCATGTAAATACAGAATCGCACTGCAAATAGTACAGACCACAACGAAAACATGTCAGGGGAATGTATAGATTGTTCATTAGATTTTATGGAGATTCACTCCCACTGCAGAATCATCCCAATAGATCTAACAACATCAATTCTTTCCAAATAGAGATATGAAGCCATCTGGTGAAATTGTATTCATATCGCAATATATATCGCAAAATAAAAATATATTGCAATGCTAGATTTTTCTAATATCGTGCAGCCCTAATTAGCTCTTCTTGTGTGTACTGCCTCTTCTTGTTGAATCGCTGAATGTCTCCTCAATTTAGTCGCTTTGGATAAAATCGTATGCTAAATGACTGAATGTAAATATTTTTTGTTTGATTTTAGATTTCTATTCATAATAAATTTGTATTAGAATTTGAAAGCTGCTTCATGCCTCTGATGTGTGTTTTTAGCTCATGTGGTTTGATTTGAGATCTTTTCTTGTCCATTTTGGACAAGGATCACTTTCATTTTAAAATGCTGTGTTAAAACAAAACACGCAGAAGTGTAAACGTGGCCTTAGACAGGAAATGCGTTTGTGGTTTTATTGTGCTGATGGCGGGCTGATAAGGATCTGCTAATTGGTTGTAAATGAGATATGAAGGGTTGCTTGGATACAGATGACTCTGGGTAGTTGAAGGGAACCGGTGCACGTTGAATACTGATGGGCAGATGCTCCTTTATAGAGGAGATGAGCAAACAGGAAGCTGAGGAAAAGAGAGAGAGAGATAGAGAAAACACTGATGAAGCTGTCTTTCACCTTCCTCTACCTATAATGTGATTTGTTGTCCTGTAATTTATGATATTGAGTACTGAGAATTAATATGGAAACATGCACTACCATTCGAAAGTTTGGGACCGGTAAGATTTGTTGTGTTTTTTTCTTTTTTGCTCATTTAAGCGTGCATTTATTTAGTCAAAACTACGGGAGAAACATTATTGTGAAATACTGTTGCAATCATTTTATTCTAATGTCACTAACTATTATAACTATCAAAGTTTAAAAGGTTTGAGTTAGGGATGTACAAAATATGGTTTCAGCATCATTATCACAACGTGTGAATATGCCATAGTCAGAATCTGCAATTGTGATTATAATTAACCAGGAAAAGGTTTTACAGTAATAAAAATAAGCAAGTTTCACCCTACTAAAGTGATCAAATTTATTTTTAAGACATGTGACTATAAGATTTCAAGCTAATTTAAACTATTTGGCCAATTAACAAAGATTCTTTGTATTTTTTTATTGCAATGAAGACTATACAAGGTTGTTTTACATTTGATGACATTGTTATTTTAAAATGTAACTCAATGCTGTTGGAATATTCAGAAAACCATGAAGACCATTTCATCTGTATCTTTGTTTGTTGTATTTGTATATGCTTGCCATTTGTTTATTATGCATTATAAACACACTTCTTACTAAATTTACACAATGTTAAACTGATTTGTTTTCTTTATAGAGTTATAGAGTAAAATCATCTTATGAAATTACATTAATATCACAACATATATTGCAGAAAGGCTAATAATAGCAATGCCAGTTTTTTTCCAATATTGTGCAGCCCTATTTGAGTTTATTTTTAAGAGTTAGTATGTTTTTTCCATTTCTATTTTTAGTTTTGTCATTTAGTTTTCTACTCTGTTTAGTTTGAATAAATTTTGTGTTGCTTATATAACCAGTGTTTTGACCTATTTAAAAATGCTAAAAAATTCTGAAACTTTTACTAACATTAAAAGGAAAAGAAAAAATATATATAATTATACTCATAATACTAATTAATATTTATACTACTACTACTGAAGATAATATTAATGCTCTTATTATAGTTTTATTATTTTTGATTTATTCTTTTTAGTTCATTAAGTTAAATAAGAACTTTGCTTACATACTAGCTGAGAAACAGTAATAGATGTATAAATTAATTTAACATTAATCTTTTTTCAAGTAACAAATATGCATTACATTATTAGTTTTTAGTTAAATGTGATATTCTTGTCTGAAATATTATTTTCAGGCAGGAATGTTTCAAGAGTCATTTTGTGTCGCATTAATCCTTCAGAATTTGCTGCTTAGGGAAAATGTTTGACTAATATTATTATTATAATTTTTTTTTGTTCATAGAATATTTTTGAGTTTATTTGGATTAAAAAAGTCATTTTAACCTCATAAATATGTCCGTTTTGATTGATGTGTCATTAATTTAATGCATCCTACTGTCAGTTTTGATTTATGCATCATTATTTAATGCATCCTTGCTGAAATGATTAATTTCTACATAAAAACATTTTTTTCAGTTGTAGTGTTCATCACAACAAATGATAAATAGCATCATTTTACAAAATTCATGGCATTTTGATAATGTCCAACATGACATTTGTTGCGCAATTATTTATTGCTTTTATTCTAATAGGAATCCTGATTTCATCCAAATTTCTGAGCTTGTCATTTTTTTCTGTCTTGTGTCCAGCGGTCTCGAATCTGGACATTGAGAGTAAACTGACGTCGCACTATCAGGCTCCATGGCATCAGCAACACAATCTGTTCCACACTTGCACACGGCCAGCGTGTCTGGAGGAGCTGCACCGACATGCCAAGCTCAACCTGCGGGCGCTGCACAGAGGTACTGATGGGTCTTCTGGCTCTCTTTGTGTGTCTCTCTGTCTGACTTTTTGTTTATAATTACATTCTTATTATTCTTATTATTCTTATTATTTTTTCAATTTCAATTTATTTCCATTATATATAAAAATAAAACACAACTATAAACAAATATTTCTATTATATTGCACCGTGTGTGTGTGTGGATGTTTCCCAGGTTGTGGCTGGAAAGTCATCTGCTGTGTGAAAAAATGTGCTGGATAAGTTAGGGGTTCATTCCACTTTGGCGACCCTGGATTATCAAAGAGACTAAGCCGAAAAGAATATGAATGCATTAATGAATGAATTATTGCACAGTAAAATATTTAATAATAACAAATAATATCCCCCATCATTAAACTATTCTTTTTATTAGTAATATTTATATTATTTAATCCAATTAAAATAAAACAAAGCTATGAACAAATAAGACTATAATATTGTTGCACACTGTAGTATTTCTAAATTTGAAATTATTTTTAAAATAATAATAATTGTTACTATTATTATTTTAGGTAACAACAATACATTGTCAAAAATGATGTTTAAGATCTCAAAAAGATGCTTATTCATATTTTTATCCAATTATAAAAATGAATCAACTATAAACAAATATTTGTATATTATTGCAGCATAAATTATTAATTAATAAAAAATTGTTTCACCACACATGAAACTATTATTATTCTTATTAATATTTTAGATTATTTAATTCATTTATAAATATAAAACAAAACCACAAACCAATATGTCTATAATATTATTGCACATTGTAGTATTTTAATATAAAAATCATTTATATAACAATTATAATAATATTAATTATTCTTAATATTATTAGTTCATTATTGTATTTTTCTATGTAACAATAAAATTTTAAATATGATATTTAAAATCTAAAAAAGATACTTATATTTTATTTTTCCAATTATAAAAATAAAAAGCTATAACTATTTTTCTACAATATTATTGCACTGTAAAGTATTTAATAAAGAAAAATCATTCAACCATTCATGAAGGTATCATTATATTATTAAATATTATTATATTATATCTTACTAATGTTTTATATTGTTTGATTATGTTTTAAAAATAAAAGAAAACTTCAAACAAATGTCTATAATGTTGTACGGTGTAACATTTAAAAAAGGATTAAAAGCATTTATGTAACAAAACTAATAATAATAATTATTATTATTTCATAATTATGTAACAACATATTTTTTTATTCTGTTAAATGCTAAACCTATTTTTTATTGCCAGAATTAAATATTTAAAATATATATATATACTTGTCAACAGCAATCTTTACTTGCATTGCATATATTGTTTATTAGATTTAATTTATCTGTGCTAAATATTAGATCATCTGTCTGTGTATGCTGGACTGGTGAAGGCTTTGAAGAATCAAAAACTCCACCTTAAAACGCCTTCAGAGCAGATGTTAGGAGAATGTGTTGGTTCATACTGCCACCTTGTGTTAGAATGATAAATTCTGACTTGGCATTGCCTCAAAGTTCATCATAGCATAATTTATACTCTACTTTTGAATCAATCTGACTTCCATTGAATTAAACATAAAACGTCACCAGAACATTGGTTGTAAGTTGTCAGCATATCCATCACAGGACTCTGTACATGAACTATTGAGTTAGTTTGTAGCTTGTAAACTAACTATAAATCCTACCACAATTAAGACTACTACAATTTGCTTATCCTCAGGTGCTTTTCTATTAGACTCAAATGATTTTTTATATTTAAAAAGCAGGCAGCCATTGACGTCCATATCAATAGTAAAGTAAAAATTCTGTTGAAGTCTATGGTTACTGTTTCCAACACTCTTCAAAATAAAGCTCCTGAGGATAAGCAAATGTTAATTTAGGGTTGGTCTGTGGCTCTAAGTGTGTATGTGTGTGTTTGCTTCACAGACCAGCAGCAGCGTCAGCGTTCAACCAGCAGAGAGCGCAGTCGGGTCACTATATCAATATCTGTGGCACCGCCAATGCCAACCTTCCCTTCAACTCACAAACTCAGACGGCGAGAGCAGAGAGGTCGACATTCACGCATGGTAAGACACACAAGAACATGTAGAGCAGCTCCAAAGGTCATATGCTTGTTGAGTCTGACATCACGTGTCTAAATCAGACTCACTTACAGCTTTAATACTACACTCAAACAATGATGTCTGCTGTTTGTTTAAACTATTTTTTTAAATGAGCTGAAACAACACAACTCTTGAGTTTTTTGGGGGTGACAACTTAAATATTAATGTTCAATCCACTTAAATTAAATGAGATACAACACAAATGGTTTTTGTGGAATGCAGCATTTTAGTGTATTTTTAGTGTGATCATAATGTTCATATCCATGCCTAATCTTAGATGGCCAGATGGTGGTTCACTTTAAAAAAATTTCTTTAATAAATCAATAAAATATTGGTTTCTGGGATGCAGCAAGTCCAGAGACTGTAGTGAGCATCACGATTTTGTCAAATATTGACTTTAAGGGTTAGTGCGCCCCAAAATAAAATATGTTGTTATTAATCACTCATCCTCATCTCATTCCAATCCTCTTATACCTTTGTTTATTGTCATTAAGATACTTTAGATCATATCCAAGAACTCCCTCATCCTAGACAGAAAGGGTTATGAGGCATTCCAAGTCTAGAAAAGGAACCAAAACATTGTCAAAGTTGTTTCAGTGGTTCAACTGTAATCAAATGAAGCTCTGAGAATACTTATGTGTGGCAAGACAAAACTGTAAATATGACTTTGTTTGTGTATATTTACTCTCCCATGTCAGGTCAGTGTGTGTTTACTATGCCAATGCAATGCGTGTGTGTGCTGCTGAATTTATTGGAAATATCTCATTTTCCTCATTGTAAACGTGCACTCTGTGGGAGAGTAAATATAGGCAAACAAAGTCAGAGTTTTGTTTTGCCACACAAAAGTGTTTGGAGCTTCGTATGATTCCAGTTGAACCACTGAAGTCACATGAAATGTTTGGATTTTGGTTCCTTTTCTGGACTGTAAATATCTCAAGAGTTCTGCTGTCTATAGAGGATGAGAGAGCTCTCAGATTTCATCTAAAATATTTTAATTTGTTACAAAGACGAATGGTCTCAGGAGATTGAACTGACATAAGGAAAAGCAGTAAATAACAGAATTTAAATTTTTGGGTGAACTAACTCTTAACTTTGTTATATGGCTAAACAGTGGTCATAAATGCCTATTCAAATTTAGTTTCTCAATTCAAACGAGTCGAAGCTATAACCTGGAAACTGTACTTGTCATGTTACTATTTAAAAATTGGTTTGACCCTCCACTGTTTATCCCAGAATTTATGTTGATTTAGAAGTGCCGTAGCTCTAAATGTAACTATCAATGCTTATAAGACTTTGGCCTAAGCTTGCACACTCTCTGTCCTGCCATGCACACCAGGAGAGGAGCGTTAGAGAGAGTGATGTGCAAACTATCCAGAGGAAGGTAAATTGTTTCTTTTTGCTGTCTTGTGGATGCCATCTGTGATACCATCCCATTATAAAATATGTTGATGTTTCATATGGTGTTTTTTTTAAGTGCCTGTGTTATGCTGTAATAGACGTTCCTTATTCTGTTGTGTTTAGGGGTCTCCTGTAATAGGCTTATATGCATACAAAGTAAAAAGAAAAAGTCCTAAGAAAGTGTTTTTTTCTTATATTCATTTTTTCTTATGAATATAACATCAAGTATAATTATGAAAAATTATATTAAACTAAATATTGGATGCCAAGTTTTTACATGTATATAAAATTCAGCGTCCAGTTTGTCCACATTGTTTATTTTCATCATTCCCTGCATTCATTGCTTGAAAAATATGAAGATTAAATAAAAATCAAATATTTCTATAATAGTTATTAGCAGATCTTCAGTCTGCTGCTATTTTTTTTACACTAAATTGTCAGTCCATTGTGAAAACTGCTTCTTTTACACTCAGTATGCTGGAAATTCTTTTTCAAAAAAAGCAAGTATCTGTTTTTTGAAACGTCATCATTTACTCCATAATAATGAACTTGCAAACATATTTCAGATACAGAGACCAGATAAAGACACAAATCATAAGAGTTGAGTTGCATGTCTTTTTGATATTTTCATTTTGCGTTTATTTAAAAGCTGACCAAGAAAATTAAGAAAAAGTTGGTTATTAGGTGTTAAAATTAAAAACAAATCTTACAGTATACTGGGTGAATAAGGAGGCTATGTATCATATGCTTTACATATTTTCAAGAGCTCACACTTAGCTGCTGATTGATTATAAAGCTTGTTTGGCATGCTGTCCTGGGAGAGAGCCCTGAGCTCATAAGATCCTCGAGCCCAGGGCTCGCTCCCGTTTGCAAGGCAAGAGGGGAGTTTGAGCTCAGGCAGATCTCGAGAACTCCCTTGTAGCTAATAAACAGATAGTGATTGCTCTTAAGAGATAGCTACTTACTATAAGCATGTCTATGGTGACAATTTGGATTAGTCAATTACCTAAAGTTGTATATTTTTGGATGGTGGGAGGAAACTGGGGAACCCGGGGGAAACCCACGTGTAAACTCCGCACAGAAACGTTGGCTGGCTTGTTAAGGACTAGAACCTAGTGAACTAGTGACGTTCTTGCTGTGAGGCAACAGTGCTAACCACTGGGCCACCGTGCCACCCATCTTGAAAAGGAGGAGGATTAGGGGTGGAAGGGCGATTCTTCAAAATGAAGATGGCTGTTATATGGAACTTAGGGTGTTTATAGTGGCCTAGGAATCTTCTGATTGGTGAATCATAAATTGAATAATGCGGGACCAGCCGCAAGCAATCATAAGCATGTGATCCTCTTGAAATTAGTTTATAGATAAACTTCACTTTATAAGACATACTTTCATAAGCATATGAATGAAATGGGCAGCAGCATTTAAGTTAAATGGCAATTATTCTGGGTATTTGATCGGTTTTGTTTCTGCAGGAGAGACCAGCCAAGGATTCTGAATTCAAACCTGTCCTCAGAAAGGTAAATTAAATCACTGTTGTGATGTCAAAACAGGACTACTGACTTACTTTCCCCCCCTAAAGAACAGGCTTTACCACTTTTAAAGGATGCCAGATTGAAAGAAAACCTTCTATAACATTCATATTAAGCAACGTCCTTTCCATTAGATCACCATTTTTTATTTCAACTTGTAGATATCAAAACAAGTTTCCAATAAAAAGCCTGTTTTGTGTTAAATGTTGTCCCTGTTCCCTGACAGCATGCAACATCACATCAGACCTTTATTTTTACTTTATTGAAAGCATGTATGAGATGTTTTATTTTGCCTTTTGTTTAGTTGTGTTTTCCATCTTTTAATTTTAGTATCAGCGCTCCCGCTCCCCCTCCCCTGTTCAGTGTTGTTACTTCATTCCCTGGATTAGAAAGGTATTTTGTAACTGTAAAGGCTGTTTGTTAACTCCAACTCCTAACCATTTCTGTTTCTCCTTTTCTAACATTAGCATTAGTTTGGATCAAGACTTCCTCCATATCTAAAAAAAAATCATCTGCAAAGTTTCTAAAGTATTTGTGAACCTGGCCCTAATGAAATACATTGTTTTATACATTTGCATGTATTTTTTTTTACTGTTTTAAAGAAATAGCTCTTGACATTGAGCCATAGAAAAAAGTCTTGCTCTCTGTTTTCCTGTGTTTGAATCTTTCATTTTTTCTCTGTTCCTCTGTTTTGCTCTCTGCCTCATAATCAAAGCTGCATTTCTTATCAACACAGAAAAGTGGAAATTTGGCAATACATGTATGTATGCAGATGTTTTCTTCATACAGTCGGCCCCAAAATGTATTTGGACACTTAAACGCCCTGATATACTTTGTGAATTAAAAAAAGTAAATCAGGCCCAAACGAATTTCATTTAGAATTTGAAACAACTTGCTCAAAGTTAAAATAAAAAAAGACTTCTGGTAAAGTTCACTCCAGCTCTAAGTAACACCTTTAAAAGCATAATGTTCCATTGTGATTTCATACAGTATCAGGCATAGTATGAGGTTCCTCCTTCTTTGAGGTGGATATATCCTCCCTGTAGTCAGTTAAGGTCAGATGTCTGTAATTAAAAACTTAAGACACAGAAGAGCTTGATAATAAAAATTGAAGTGTAAGTCTAATCGGAAGCAACACTGATGCCAGTTTAAAACAAAAAATTGTTTTAAAGCAGTGTACTGTATGAAGTGCTTTGCAAATAAACATGGCGTAATTTGATTTAAGAAACAAATTGTAAAGGTCATCCAAACATTCCCATCACTAATATTATTCAGTTTTTAACTGCTTTTTTACTGCTGTAATTGTAGATTAGTGCAGCTTTTATTTTGTTATTGAAAGAAACATATTTACATATTCATCTAAACATCACACAAACAGCATATTTTTTCTTACCTCTTAATGAAAAAGGACAAAGAGCTCCAGTGTATAAGAGCTTAAAGTCATATTAAAATGAATAAATGTCTTCACTGGATGATAAAGAGTCTACCATTGTTTCTGTTTGGCTTACTTTAATGTGTATTTATTGTATGTTTGAAGTTCATGGAAATTTATACAGTAAGTGTGACTCAAAATGTGTCTAAAACAATTTTGGGGCCACTGTATAAAATCTGTGATCCTGTATTCTTTCATTCAACTGTGTGTTTACCGTCTCTGTTTGTATATCAAATCATCAGTTGGATCCTAATACAGCTAACCATTCAAATATGGTTCAATATTAGGCTGGAACCAACACAGAAACGGATGGAGAACTACAAGTGATGAGCCATAGGCCTAAATGTCCTGTTCCCAATGCACCTACCACCCTGGACAAACAGACTAACTGGTCTAAAGCCCTGCCTCTTCCCACTCCAGAAGAAAGAATAAAGAATGACTCTCAAGTGATTTCATCCTGTATCATTCCAATAAATGTTTCGGGTAAAGCAACTACTTCAGATTCAGTACAGACTAAAAATTTCAAATATGAAAGACAAAATAATTTCATACTTCAGATTATACTATTAATTCCATTTCCAGCTGACGGAATCCATGGCACATTCTTAGTTAATTCTATAGGTCTATGTTATTTATTCTCATAGGTGTTGGATTTGACAGAGAAGCCAGTGCTCGCTGCTCTCTTGTTCACTCGCAATCGGTTCTACAGAGACGGCGGAAACTCAGGAGGCGAAAAACGATCACTGGGATCCCCAAACGAGTTCAACAAGACATGGGTATTTGTTTATTTTTTGCATTATTACATATGCACATCACATTTCACCAAATCTGAGTTTACTTCTAGTTTAATTTTTGATTTTCTAATTTTTCTGTAGATTCTGACGAATCCCCTGTTGCTAGAGAAAGAACAGTGATAATCCACGCCAATCCACACAAGTCCCACGAGTGGCATGAGGAGCTCTCCTTGAGTGGCAGAGTATTGCATACTAAGGATTCGGGCTGTCAGACAGATGACTTCTTGATTACTGCTCCATCCCGAAGACGCATCCGTGCCCAAAGAGGTCAGGGAATTCCAGCGTCTCTCTCTCACTCCACTGGAAACATTACCTCCCTCCCGGATCGTTCTGATACGGTTTATGCTGCAGCATCAGCCACTCGTGTCCGTTCTAGGAGCCTTCCACGTGAGGGTGGTCGGCTTCTGGATGAGGACCAAGATGACAGTGATGATGATGATGATGAAGATGATGATGAAGATGATGAAGAGGAAGATGAGGAGCTCTCTCCATATGAAGCCGAAGACTTCCTGCCAGGTCCCGGACAGAGAATTCCAAAGGATGAGGAAGAGAGTACTGACGACCAAGCCATGCCAGAGCTACAGTTTGGAAGTCTTAAGCGTATGCAGCATTCAGAGAGCCCTGACCACACATGGATTGAGAGAGGCAGATCCAGACTCCCACGGAAAGTAGACATGGGGAGCTGTGAGATTTCCTCTAGTTCAGATACTTTCAGCAGCCCCATACACTCTGCATCCACTACAGGAGTGCTTGGCAGCCAGATTGACCATAAAGAGGATCACCAGTCCTCAAGTGGCAACTGGAGTGGAAGCAGCTCCACTTGCCCATCGCAGACATCCGAGACTCTTCCACCTGCTGCCTCCCCTCCCTTGACGGGATCCTCACACTGTGATTCAGAACTTTCCCTGAATACTGGGTCCCATGTCATAGATGACAACACTGGTTTCATAATTGATCCCTATCACATAGACAAGCCACAGGGACAGGGGCAACGATCCAATTCATTTACCTCATCAGCTACTGATCAGATGGATGATGCAGGGGTCAGCACTGCTAGTGATGGGGAGTGGAACTGTGCCCAGGACCAGCAGGATCAGTCCTGCACCCAAGACTTCAGCCCAAAGCGTTCCAGAGAGGATGAGAGTGGTGTCAGCTGCCCTAGTTATTCTAGTGGGGAAACTTACGAGAGCTTCAGTGACCAAGCATCCGCTAGAAAATCTGAGATGCACTACATTGTCGACACTGAAGGATTCTATTCCTCCATGCACTTTGACTCTGGTCTTAAGGGTAGCAGAAGCTACTACAACTATGCAGCCATTGACCCCGACTGTGGCCCAAGTGGTAATATAGCACCTGGCATGACTGAATACCCTCAGCCAGAGTACAGAGCCACCAGGACACTGGGCAGACCCTGTCTCTCCTTAAGAAAACCAAAGGCCAAGCCACCCCCACCAAAACGTAGCTCTTCATTAAAGGAAACAAGCAGTGATGTGAACGTTCCAGAGCAGAACGAACCAAAGATTACTTGTGAGTTGCCACTGCCCTTGTCTTCCAGGGAGATGAAACTGCAGCTGGACTTGGCTGATTCTGCAGGGCACCTTGAGACTGCAGGTCTTGAATCACTTGGTGCATGGGGAGTGGAAAATGTTAGGGACATGCTTGACTGCTCCTCCCCATTCAGTTCCTCAGACACACATTCCTTCAAAGATGAAGGTGCTGTGCAAGCAGACTATGCAGACCTCTGGCTTCACAATGACTTGAAATCAAATGATCCTTATCGGTCCCTCTCTAACTCTAGCTCTGCTACAGGTACAACTGTTATTGAATGCATCAAGTCACCAGAAAGATCAGAAACGCACACCTGTCAACCCAGGTCCAGACCTTCTTCCCCAACTCTTCCTCCACCTGAAAGTGAATTTAAGCTTGCTTCTCCCGAAAAGCTGGCAGGCTTGGCGTCCCCTTCCAGTGGATATTCCAGTCAGTCTGAAACACCTACATCTTCCTTCCCCTCTGCTTTCTTCCCAGGGCCCCTGTCTCCAACCAGTGGGAAGAGGAAGCCCAAAGTCCCTGAAAGGAAGTCCTCACTTTGTTCCTTACAGCAGCAACAGCTTTCAGTCAGAGACCCAGGCATTTCCTGTAGGAGAGAAACTGACTTCTATGCCATACCCCCAAGTCACCTTGACCTAAGTGCTCTTCACAGTAAGCACTTTCCTCACAGAAATCAAATGCACATCCTCCACCAGAATAAGCAGAAAGCTGCCATAGCAGCAGCTGCTGCAGCAGAAGCTCGCAGTGCAGCAGCTGCTGCAGCAGAAGCTCGCAGTGCAGCAGCTGCTGCAGCAGAAGCTCGCAGTGCAGCAACTGCAGCCGCTGCTGCCGAGGCCTGCACTGCAGCTACAGCTTCTACTAAAGAGAGTGCAACAAATACAGCACCCATCTCAGCCCATTTGGCTATTACTCCAACGGTTCTTAGATCAGTGCAACTGCGATCTATATGTAGACCATCTGATGGCAACCAAGGGCTTGATCAAGACAGTTCAAATCTCATAACTCGTCCTAAGTGTCCCACAATAATAACTGATGCCCCATCATCTAGCAACAGGCACAACAGGAAGCCACCAGCCTACAAACCCCCTGCTGCACAGGTTTGTGATTCACAGATTCCACTGGTGGAAAACATTGTTTTTCCACAAGAAGAAGTGAGAGTGAGACAGGAGAGGTTTGGTCCTGGTACTTACTGGGCAATGACTGCTTTCAGAACTCCTGTGGACCCTAATTGTGAAAAAGAAGTCTCTTTAAAAAGGTCATCTCAGTGTTTTCAGCAAGAACAAGACAGCAGAAGGTGCCTAGATGTGCAAAAGACATTGTCACCAGAGAGACTAAAACAAGATTTGAATCAACTATCGCGGCCAGACCCTTCAACACAGTCCATGTGTTTGGCCAGCACAATGCCACCCCCTGCTTATAGTGAGATACAGAGGAGCAATTTTGTACTGTGCAACAGTCCTGACAAAGTGCCTGTTTCAACTCAAGAGGCATCGCATTCTTACACAATCAGCGATGTACAAGGCAGAGAGGAGGATTATGAGACATCAGGTGTCGCAACCAGAAGTGCCTCACAGGACATAAGGGAAGAAGAGTCAACCCCAGATACAGAGGACTATTTCAGTAAAGGTAATTGTCCTGTTAAAATGTCAGCTTATAAGATGTGACTGATTTATCACCCTAGCTATATTTCTGTCATGGAAAATTTCTGAGATAACTTTTATAGTAGGGAATATGGCATATTTGAGGAATTTGGTATTGGTGGAATAGGTATGTTAAGCTGCTAATACTTCTGTTGAGCAGTGCTGTTGCGGAGCGAGTACTGTGACTTGCTACTTCCAAAACAACCAATGTCTAACATGCATGAAATAACTGGTATCACCTCTTTACAGGTGGTGCTGGGGGAAATTTAGAGTTCTTGATAGCAGCATTTAAACTCTTACAGCCCAATAACTGATTAACAAGCCACTCTAATGATGTAACAGAAATCAAGATAAGTCAGGGTACATTAACTCTAATTTTATATGAATGCTTTGCATGTTGACAGACTCTACTCCCAGTGATAATTCATCCTCTCCTTTGACCGATGACTCCAGACTTGATGATGATGTTTTCCCATCTCCCAATAAACTCCGCACAACTGAAGATCTTTTTGCTATGATACACAGGTAAGCCTAATTGTTTCAGATGACAATGCAGCATCTGGTGTGTATTCTCCATGTCCTATATTTTGGTGATGTACCTGCATAAAATAATGGAAACTGATTCCTGCACTTAAACATGACACAAACACTTTCAACTCTGTGATTGCAGATCTAAAAGGAAAGTGCTGGGACGCAAAGATTCAGGGGAAGTCAGTGGAAAAGGTCGGCCTGTTGTACCACCTGTGACCACCCCTGTAAGCAATCCTACTGTATGCCCGGTCATCCCTGCTCCCCCAGTTCCTTCAAACAACTCCCAGCGAGCCTCAGGACCCATCTACAGGAGTGCCAAAAAGTCTAGTACATCCAGTGAGGAGTTCAAACTCCTTCTGCTTAAGAAGGGTAGTCGCACAGACTCAAGTTATCGCATGTCTGCTACAGAGATCCTTAAGAGCCCCATCACACCCAAGACTCAAGCAGAGCTGCTGTTAGAGGCCATGAGGCAACCAGAGGAGATCCCCTTACCCCAACTGGATTCCACCAGCAGTGGAGATCCACTTCCAAGTCCATTCCCTAAGGCCAACAGTGAGGGATTCTCCCCAAAAACACTCACCATGTCAGCTGCCTCCAGACAAGGACGTTCTAGAATTCCACCTGCAGCGAACAGCAGTCGCTATAGCACGCGGAGTCGGCTGTACACTGCCCCAATGCAGGCCATATCAGAAGGAGAGACTGAGAACTCGGATGGAAGTCCACACGATGACCGCTCCTCCTAGTGGTATAATCATTTTTTAACCACTTAGCAAAATGATAAATCTTTTTATAATATGAAAACACTGAAAACTGTATGAGAGTGCTGTACACATGTTATGATCTACCTTTTCTCCCATGCCATTGATTTCCTTAAGCTCCTTTTATACTCTGTGGGTCAACTGAAAATTTGGGCTTAAATTACTGAATGATGTATTGATCATCAAGGAATGTTTTTATTTTTATCATAGTCCCACACTTTTATTCTCAGAAAATTATTTACTTGTCATTCTTTGAAAAGGTGTTGAAATGTTTTTTAATATAAAAGAAATCAGTTCTTTTCCATCATACATCACAAATTTTCATAACCATGTCGATGTTAAACTTTTCCGAGGACAATCGCACCATGGCCTTTCTTAGCAGGATGTGCAAGGGGAAGGACTTCTGAGACAAAGAAAGCCAGATATGTTATGAACATAATGGACTGGTTTGCAAAACCATTGATTCCTTTGCACTTAAATTGGTTACCTTGAAATATACAACCTGGATGTACTGTTAAAAAAAACAAGGAAAGCAAACAGAAATAATCCAGTTTTAGTTTAGAGTAATGGAGCCTCTGTGGTGTGTGAGAGACTCTTCTTGCTGTTTGAATCTTTGACAAACAGCACTCCAACAACCCTTTTACCCACGTACGACCTTTTCTTCAAAGACCCAAATTGGGTTGTGTAATTTTGTCACATGTTTTCAGGTGTCATCATGTATAATTACTTAGCCAACCAACATGGAAGATTTTTATGACCGCAGAAGAAACGAGGACTTTGGAGAAAATTCACCTCAGTCTCCATGTATTCTGTGAATACCTTTAAAATCAAACATACTGTTCCCTTCTACCGTTCACAGATTCACTTTTAAAGTGAACCACTTCAGAGTTGGAGGTTTTCTCCGAGTTCAAAACTCATAGGAATTAGCTAGATTTGTCAAGCCTACACTGTGCCACTGAAGGGAAGGTGACAAGCTGTGAAAAGATTGATTTTATTTTATTTTTTGAGTCATCCGTCTCTGATGAACGCTTTTTCACTGTGGTCGTCATTTAGTTTCTTCATCCTCTGTGTAGCATGCAATAAAACACTAGAACACGTCACATGATCTCCACCTAAAACGTGTTTCCACCTTCACTTGAATTTGTTGAGTATGTGCTATGTTCAGTAAATGTGTAAAATGTATAAGGTTTGCAGTTTTACATCACTGTATACACAGTTTGAGCTTTTTTTCCCTTAAGTGGAGGAAATGGACAATCTAATCGAATGAAGCACTATTTGTGTATAGTTGAGTTTTGAGAGAACGGAGTGCGGAAAAAGTGATGATAGAATTATATTTAGAGATTAATGTAAAGCGAGTACTGGTTTATATCTGAATCTCTGGGATATGGATGAGATGACTGCGAAGGGCCTGCAGTTTAAAGTTCATTGCTCATCTGTATATACATGGATGATTGACTTATGATATTTTTTTCTGGACTGTTGTTGGTTTGTCATGTACTGTCACGTCTAAGAGGTTTGAGAAGTTGATTCTTTTTATTGTTTTATACCAGTAGAGAAACCTTCCAGAATATTCTGAGACACTAACAGAACTAACAGATATTTTCTCATAAAATAGGAGCTGCAATGTGCCACGTCTTATTTCTCCTTTAATACAACCCTGTGTGAAGGTTGTCGCAATTAGCTTTGCTTTATAATTACAGACTTTTGGAAGTACAGACTACTTTTTCCCTCGTGTCCATATGCTAGAATTAAATCTATGAAATCTTCTTTTAGATTGCAACGTTTAATAGAAAAAAAATATTTTTAATTATGGGATATTTTATCCAGAGACTTATTTTGTTAATAAATTTGGGAAAGAATAACGATAAAGCTTTATTTAAATAAAATAAGAAAACATATTTCATATCAGGGGTGTATCAGCCGATGATGAAGATACCGAACTTGTAAACATTTCTAATTAGCTGTAAACTTGCATTCTGAACAAATAAGCTATACTATATGTTATACAACTGTAGTTAAACATTTTGGTGCTTTGAATTCTTATACCCAGGCCATAATCTGTCATTGTTGCCATCTTGGAGAAAGAAAAAAAAAGTCATTTGAAATCATCGGTTTTCTTCTCATATTTTTCACTCTGTGGTTATGGTGCAAAAGCAGTCATGAAAACAACACTCGTGACAACTCGAAAATCCAGATATGTAGCAATGAATATGTCTTTTGCTTTATTTTCATAACACACAAAAGTAGCCACATTTGCAGTACCAACCTAGTTCCATGTAGTGAAGCTTACCAGTCGGTTTTGGCCTTATTTGCAGAATCTTCAAGAAAAGAATTAAGGGAAATCAAAAAAGTGGGTTGTCTGTATAGTTATTTTACCTCAACGCAGCTTTGGACTGTTTTAAACAGGTACACTATACATTAATAATGTTCATATCAATAAAGAAAGGACAAACTGAAACAAAAAGACACTACACAGAATAGTTGTACTTCAAATATCAAAATCCATCTTGGAATATTTCTCCATTTTACACGTTTCTAGACACATTTTACTGAATTACTCTGCATTAACGGAGAAGCACAGTCTGTTTTGCCAAAGGGTTTCAAACATGTACGGATGCGAAGTAATTACAAATTGTGATAAGCTAATTGATGGGCAGATAAAAATGAGGGTTAAAGTGAAAATGTCTAGAGACAAGATGCATCTCATTTTGTATTTTTGTATAAACATGTACATATGATCTTTTTAAAAATGAAAAAAGAGAAAAGATACAATTGTTTCATTTTGTAAAATGTTTTAAAAGTTTACATTAATTCCAAGCCTTTGTATATTTTTGAGCTGTGCGACTCTCTCGGTCCTTTTATTTATTTTTTAGTAAACATTGTGGGAACTCCATTGTAAATTTGAACCATTTCTTGCCAGCTCAAGTGACTGCTTAGTAACTGTGCATAGAGAAAGCCAATAAATGTGACTGCATTGAAAAATAACTGGATGACTTGTGTATTATTTACATACACTGATTCAGTATTTAAGAAAAATGCAAACTCTTTGTTATATTATCAGAAATCCCAGGTATATGGTTTGTTCATGGTGTGCGTTTGTGTAAATCTCAATTACAGGTAAAGAATTTGTCATGAAATCATAGGGGAATACGCACACAGACTTTTAATTTTTATCCAGCCAGCTTGACGGCTTCCGATAAACTGTCTTTTATTACAAAATCGCCATGTTTAAGGTTTTTTTTTTTTTTTTTTTTAAGTGTTAATCACTGCCTAATAGATATTAGATATAAAGTGGGTCTCAGACCGGACAAGAAGCACTGCATTAAATTCATTTTGCCCTGCAATCTCTTTAAAATATGAACATTTGTTTTACCTCAGTATTTTGAATAGAGTTTCTGCGCTAGTCTGCTGGTACTGTCGCCGCTTGCGGTTACACTGTCTTTCGTCTTGTTTAATGCTTGAACAACTAAATGAATGCCTAAGTTTATTTTTGATTGTATTTTAATTACAGTAAGGCAATGATGCTGTAAAAGTAACCTTATAAACTTAAAAAAAAAGTCACATTAACCTTTTCAAAAGTTTACTGTTGGCTGAAAAACTCATAAAAATAAAAAAGTCTTCAATATTAACTGGTTGAAGTACTTGGAGTCAACTTGCCAGATACTTCACTCCAAGCAGTTAAACCTTACAATAATTATAATATTTTTGGAAGAATAAATATTTACATTTAGAAGGTCCTCAACTGTGTTTCTGCTTGATATGTCGACAAATCAGCCATCTTGGAATAGGCACGAAAAGCAATTGAAGCCTAGTCTGAAATTGACAAATAAATAATATTGTGAATATTTATTATACCACAGGTCTTTAAACTACAACGACCTTTTAATTATAGTTGATAAAATCCTGTAAGAACCAGTTTGTGTAAGATATTCATAATCCACGTTTTTCTTCTCTGTTCAAAAACTTAAATTAGCAATAATTAACAAATTAAGTAAATTTCTTATTTCCGTCAAAGAAATTATTCATGCAAATATCAACATCAATAATTTCAATTATATGGACGATTCTTTGTCACGAGTTCGCGACACCCGTAAGTGCTACGTATGCTACCCATAATTCATAGCGCACTTAGTAAAAAGATATGGTGGACGGGTTATGTGTTCGCCCGTAATCAGGCATAATAATTATATATATTAAACGTTTTAAGCTTGTGGCTTGACATTTCACAGTCACAGTGAGTAATTATATTGGAAACAAGCAAACATGACCTAAAACGGTTCATAGCCTGTGTAAAGAGCTATGAAATGAAAAGAGGAGGTTTGAAAGGTAACTAAACTTGTTATATAACATCTACAAAGTAGCTTCTTGCTACTCAGATAAAACAGTAACGTCTTCACTATTTATGTGTAGCAAAAGTAAGGGAGAAGAGAAGCGGAAAAAAGATTTGAGGACTGACAGACTGAAATTCAAGAAAACGCCACATGAGGAGGCTCTTTCTCCGTTTCTCTACGAACGGAGAATCTTGCTGATGTGAGTATCATCGAGAATCTTCTGAGCCATTCAAAATAAAAATAAACGTCGGGCTGGTTGAAGAAAAAGATGCCACCCAGGACTACTAGAATGTCCAGAGACAGATGATACTACAAGATGGCAACCCTGAAATGTTGAATACAAATCTGTGGGCTAATAGCGTTCACCCAAAAGTGACATTTCTGTAATTGTTTATGTCCCTTACTTGTTTTGAACCTTTATAAGTTTCTTTCTTATGTTAAAATCACTTTTCCTATCTCTTAAACAATGATAAGATATAAAGAAAATAAATTATTTAGTCTGTAAACCACATCGTGCGCACATTTAACATTGTTGTTAATGTAAATATCTTGCTAAATCTGTGTGGGGAAATGTAACTTAAACTTAATCATTCGAGTTTCTGTTGAAATATCTGAATTTCCATCACCAATTTCAACTAAATAATGACAAATGGCCGCTCTTTTACAGTGAAGTAGCAGATCAGTTCAATTCATCTTTATAACTGTAGCACTTTTACCGTGTAGATTGTGTCAAAGCAGCTTAACATGAAGTTCTTGTAAATGGAAACTGCTTCAGTCAGGTTTTCAGACTTTAAGTTTAGTTTACTTCAGTTTAGTGTAATGTACAGTGTAATTAAATAATAAACATTTATTATTAAACTCATACCGCCTGCTATTAAGTATAACAGTTTTGAATATCATTATTTTTCAACAATCAAGCATGAGTTAAAAGTCATTTTAAAAAGTAAACTAACGGCAGGGCCATATTCATATGTCACTCTTTCTGAATGAGACGTCACTGAGAACAAAGAGTCCATGATTCCTGAGGCTTTTTGAACTTTCTAGAAGAGATTAGACAAGAGGCATTGATAAGTGATTAAGCGCCAGACGAGATCTGGCTGGAGAGTGTTTGTCAGAGGTGGACCCTTCAGTCTCGGAGGTTATTGCCCAGCATTGATGAAGGTCATGGCAGTCTTTGAGGCTGACTTCAGGACAATGGGTCTTTCAGAGGCTGGAGACCACTGACGACATGAGGCAACAGACCACCAGCCTTTCTGACAAACTGCTTGTTGACTGTGGGGGAACCCGGAGCACCCAGAGGAAACCCACGTAAGCATGGGGAGAACATGCAAACTCCACACAGAAATGTCAACTGACCTAGCTGGGGCTCGAACCAGCAACCCTCTTGCTGTGAGGCAATTGTGCAACCCACTTACGCCACCATGCTGCCCCAATTTTAAATATAAAACTATATTTCTTAATATCGCAAAATGTGCACATATTTGTTATCTATAATGTTATATGTGTTCTTATATGGCCTTATATAACTATTAGGGATGAACTAATTAGAATTTTTGCAGCTGATTCCAAGTTCCGATTGCTTGTCATGGTGATTATTATAATGCATAAAGCACATTTTACCTCTGAGTATAATCCCTAAGTGTAGATATCTCCTTACCTAAGAGAATAAATTAAGTATGCTACATATAGTCCCTGAAACGTGTCTCTTATAGCCATTAAGCTGTGAACATGTCATGTTCAGAAGAAGCTTTACAGAAAATAAAACAAATAAAAAATTGGAAAGACAAATAATGCAATTTGGAAACATTCCAAATGATGGAAGAAGAATTCAACATGTCTCAATCAAAAAATAGTAGCACATGTATTATGCATAAAGTGTTAAAACACACTCCTATGAATCTAATACTTCTTTACTAAAAGAAAATAGGCCTATAATCTACTGTTTATTGCAATAAGTATGTTACAAGAAGTTATATTATTAGATATTCATGTTTAAAATAAATAATGTTTAAGTTTCATGTAATATTTCCAGCTAGGTTTTAGTGAACTTGCAATATTGTCAAAAACAGAAGTTCTTTCAGTTCTTATATGCAGGGTTCATACGGTCATGGAAAACCTGGAAAAGTCAGGATGTGAATACAATTTCATCAGATGATTTAACAGGTTTATTTGGATTGATTGGTAGGATTTTGTAGAGGAGTGAATCTCGAATAATCTATAACAAAAATTTGGAAGCTTAGATAAATAAAATATCATTCATTTTCTTGTCGGCTCATTGAATAATAAACACAACATAGTCTTCATTGTATATTATTTAATCTTTATTAAAGTTACAAAGCATTTCTTGTGGCCAGATGTTTTAAACTGAAATGTTCACACAGTTTACTCAAAGATTAAAATGTACTTAACATTTACTCACACTTCACTTGTTTCAATTGTTCATTTAAAAAAAAGAAAACTCATAAATGTTTGAAACAAGTGAAGGGTGTAATGAAAATGGTAAGTAATTTACTCCATTATGATTAAACTCTATATTAAACTATAATCCCAACATTGCATATCCTGCAATGTGACTATTGTGGATGCACATATTGCATGATCGATGCTGAAGCGATATATTGTGCAGCCCTAACTTGAATGCAGTTTAGTTGTCTTTACTTTTCTGTCCTTGGCCAAAAACTTGCTCTCACATTGATAGTGCTGTTTAAGCATGATCAAAATTTTACATAGATATAAAAAATGTTTAACAAAATAGTTTGTTGTGTGTTTTCTTATATGCTGTAATTAATTTAAATGTCTTTTTTAAATTATTTATCATGTATATTTATGCTGTATATGTAGACATTATATGAAACCTTACATCATGAAAATGCACTTGAAAAGTCTTGGAAAAGTCGTGGAATTTTAGTAGTAAAAATGTGTATGAACCCTGTATATGTAAAAAGGCCTAAATACATGCAAGGTCATTCGAATATTTTGCTCTTCTCCAACTAACACAAACACTTGTGATCGGTTCACGAGATCAGCCAGATCAGCGAGAACTGATGGAGTCATTAAATGTGGTTATAGGTCGATACTGATCTCTGTCCGATCGATTGGAGCATCTTTAATAATTATATCGCTAATAATAATATTTTTATCAAATAAATATTATAGATATATATGAAAATTCCAAAGGTTAGAAAGAAATCAAACAGACATTTTTACAACATTTAGAAATATGGTTTCATATATATATGCAAAATCTAAATACTCCAAACCTATACAGTGTGTCATTTCCAAATATTAGTGTTTTTAAGGGGATTTTAGTTTATTTGGTATGTTTCTTGCAGTGTTTAATATGATTTATTGTTAATTTGCATTGTAATCAGGTTGACGTAGAACTGAATATCCTTGATCTGATTTGATTGAGAAGGCAGAGCAGCACAGAAGGGGCTGTTCTCCAGTTAATTCACCACATCTGTCTGCTCTCTCACAGCGGACACACTGAGCTGACTCCTGTTCACGACTGCGCTGTTTCTGTCTATTGACGAACCTTTAAATAGCAACTGAAGCTTGCTGTACTAAATTTATTTGACAGCACCGATTGCAACAGCATCTGAACTGTCAACTTCACAAAAAGGTAAGCATGTTTCTGTTCATATCTCAAGGATTTTGCACATGCATCATTTTGCACGATTTTATGAAAAAGAGCACACTCACACACACTTCTTACACTTAGTGAGAGCACACAAATGGCCAGTATAATTGAACTTGAAAGTCAATATTTATTTACACCTTAAGCCTTTTGGCATTTGATGGTTGCATGAAGAACCTTTACTCTGAAAAAATGATTCATTTGATTTACTAATTTTTTAAGGTAACTGGTTGCAAGCAATTTATATAGGCTAAATTTAAACAAACACATTAAGTTGAACATTACTAAATTTAATAAAAATACTACTTAATTAAGTATAACTTTACACAATAATAAATAGTTTGCAACCAATTACCTTTTTTTCAGTGTACATAATTCCACAAAAGTTATTTATAGTGGCAAGGACTTCTTTAAAAATCTTCTCACTAGGGCTGTGCTGATAAACGATATTATACCAAATCATTATAAAAAATTGTCAATAACAATAACCAGCTCTGAATGTTTTTACTCTATGTTGATCTAAGAGCCAATCACACAGCAGAAATGTGCAACAATGTGAATCTAAAAGTGCATGGATATTAGAGATGTACCAAATTTTTAGCCCCCGAAAATTTGTCAACCAAAAAATTTGTTAGGTCATTAATGGACCCTCTAAAGTTTGTAATTTCAGTCATTGTTTGGGTGCTCTTTCAAATCTGGAAGCATTAACAACTTATATCAAAATATATCATTATCGTTCAATGTGGAATATAACTATCAAGGCATTTTTGCCATATCGCCCAGCCGTTTTGTTCTTTGGAAATCAAAAATGGGCAGAATTTGGCACCACTTGAAACTTATCCCACTTTAGATTTCTTTAACTTTATTAATCTAAAGAAACCTTTTCTATTTTCAAGAATGGCAGTGGAATGATTCCATTTAGAAACTTTATTCACTGTTAAAAAAAAAAAAAAAAAAAACAGGCTTCCACACAATTCATTCTGGTTGTTTCATGTTGGAGCATTAAATTAACTTAACAAATTTAGATGGAGTGAACATATTAAACAATTAAAAATCTAAAGAACTGGGTTATTTAAGCTTATTTTGCATAAGTAGTTTGAACAAGAAGGAAAATCATTTTATGAGTTTTTTTTTTAGTGTGCACTGACAAACATTATTATTTTTTTATATTTATACATGATTTTTGGTTTTGTATAAAGGTTGAAATAAGCTAAAGGAAAGTGAGTGAGGTGTTTCAAACACACTCAAAAAAGATTTTTGCTGCTTGCTCAAACTAATTTAAAATGAGCTGAATCAACACTATTATTCCGTTTTTCTGGCATCTTAATTCTTTTATGTTCAGTCCACTTCAATTTATAAAAACAAATAAGTTAACTTAATCAAGTTGTGTTGGGACAACATAAAGGTAGTGTATTAAAAAGACACTCAGTATTTTTTCAAAGAGTTTAGGTTTTTTGATGTGAAATTAAAATGTGTTATAAGAATATAAGTTTTGAGCCTAATTTGAGCTATTATTAGCATTCATTTATTCATTCATTTTCTTGTCGGCTTAGTCCCTTTATTAATCCGGGGTCGCCAGCCGCAACCCATCTTTGAGAAAATTATTAGCAGCAATACGTATGAAATGTTTTTAGCATTAGGCTTCACAGAGGTGTATGGATGTCATTATGATACAAGCGTGGAAATGAACTGAAGTCATTCGTTAACAAACATAAGGATAGAAAAACGTTTCTGTACCACTCCTTGCATACCCACCAAGCAATTTTGTTTAATAGAAATCTAAACATACACTGTAAAAAAGTCATTTGCTAAGTTTACTTAATTAATTTGTGCAAACTCATTGCCTTAATTAAAAGTTATTTTACCTTTATTTTAATATTTTTTTTCTTACTAATATATTAAAAGTATTCGTTAAATGAAGTCACATTTACATGGATTGTTTAAGTTTTGATGAGGATCTGTAGTTGGTAGAGCTTTACAATTCTATTTGAACAGAAATCTCTGTAAATAACAACGTAACAACATTAAATACTAATTCATGTCTTCCTATATTAATTTTGTGCTAAAACACACAATAACACTTTATTTTACATCTTTTTTTTCCCATTCTGGCACAAAGTATTTTAAAAACTAGAAATATGCAAATTAACTCATTAAGTTACATTCAGAATTTAATTCAAAGGAACTCAGTTCATGTAATTTATTGCACTGCTTGATTTTACAGTTTCAACCAATTTACTAAAACAAGGCTAAATTCTAGCAGCTCAAAACCGACTCATTCATTCATGTTAATTTGATAACTAGTCAAGTTTTAGTCTGTTTTTAGACATCTATTATATTTTCTCAGACAGACCAAATTTAGCTTTGTTTTAGCAAAGCTGTCTGTATTTAGATTTCTATTACATGCCTATTAAATACAAAAAGTGCTTGGTGGGTTTATACATGCACACATGTACTTTAGTAAGATGCGAAAATACACACTTTTATATTTCAAATGACCACACCTAGAAAAATAGTAATGAAGAAATAAATTTGCATCCTTAAATCCTTTTAAAGTTACACTCAATCTCTTCAGCTAAAGGGAACACATGAAAAATAACATGAAGTTTAATCCTCTCTGGTTTGGCAAAAGGAAAAGGATCTGAACTTTTCTCCTCTGGCACACAGCGTTTATTGGTTTGTAATCCATCTATCTGTCTATGGAGTAAACATTTAGTTGCACAAAAGTAATAAACTTGCATGGGCCACGTTGAAAGTCTTGCGAGAATAAATTAATCGTGTTTGAAAAGATTTTTTTCTTGAGCCACTTAATACACTTTATACGTAAGACTAGAAATGGGGTATTTCTGTCTTTTACTGACTGTATGTGCTTCACGACAACATTAAAACCCGCTGCTGAATTGTCAAAGCATTCAAGACTTTCATATGATAGTTTGAAAGGCCTGTCCGCATCATTCAGATCTGATCTCTGCAATTTAACAAAAAACAGCTTTAACATCTGCTCAGTGTTAGTCATTTATATTAATGCTAATCAAGAGCATACATGCATTCAATTTCCTAAAACATATCAACTGCCTATAGAAGCTTTCTAAATTTTCTAGAAGAAATACTAAGATGTGTCCCAAAAACAGTGATATATTTTTTCCATATTATAGTGGAGCTATTATTCCCCTTTTTACAAGATGTAAAATAAATCTCTGATGTCCCCCAAGTGTTTTTGTGAATTTCAGCTCAAAATACCCCACAAATAACGCTTTAAAACTGCCCCTTTTAGGCATTGATCCTAATTGTGCCGTTTTGGTAATAGTCGCTTTAAATTTAAATAAGATTGTGCTCTTTTCAAAAGAAGACGGAGCTACAAATGCCTATGTGTCAGCATAGTGGCAGATTCAAAAACAAGGATAACGTCCTGAGGGAGAGATCGTCACTAGGGAGCAGGACTTTCCCCCTCTGATGACAAAGAGAAAATGTCAATCAAAGTGTTTCTGCAGACTGTTTTCATAAAGGGTGATTATAAAATATATATATATATTTTTAATGGCATTTTTACAATAAAAAACTGGTTATATTCACAGAATTGTCACACAACTGTGTTTAAACCTTATACAAAAGTGATGTTTGCATAAAATAATTAAAATAATGGTTACTTGAATATTTTTATTCCAGTTCATGAAAGAATAAACAGAATTGGATTGTTTTTCTTAAACATTAAAACAATATTAATAACCTAGGTAATGTAGGGTATATAAATCAAATCTATACTTACTTACCTAAGAACAGCTGGCAGAGTAATGGCATAAAATGTGAAAAATTTCTTTAAAATAAAGTTGAAAGCATTAAATTATTATCTTTAAAAAAAAAAAAAAACATTTTGGTGTTTGGAGCCTGTGAGTGACGTTTTAATCTCTCTGCTCAAGATCCAAATTGTTTCTGGCAAGCTTTTTAATGGTGTTTATTTAACAAAGGTTTAAACAAACAGCAATATGGTTGACACTTTTATTACAAAATTTTATTCACTTGCAGATATAAAAACAGCACATTTTAAGAATTTCTTTCTTCAAAATGTATTTACTAAAAATAAATGGTTATTGGTTATTAGTTTGGGAATTAGAATACTCTCCCAATGCTGCATGTTTGTTTGGAACATTTGCTTCATTGTTCACACTGTTTCACTCCGTTAAAGGTGCAGTAGGTGATCTGCCAAAATGCTAACCGCTTAGCATATTATCTTTGGCAGCGGGGATGGACTGTGACTCAAAGCCACACCACCTGAAATCACGAGCTCGCACACCGTGTCAACAGCAGACAGACAACCCACTAGTTCATGTCATTCGCTAGTTAGTTAGTTCTTAGCCAGCAGCATGCTTGAATTACATTTATTACTTAGCCTTACATGCTATTTCAGAGCGAATATTAAAAGTAGCATGGTAAACAGTGTAGGAAGGCGGTCATTGTTCAAAAATGACCCAATGTGAATATAAAAGCAACTTCGCCTCAATAAGCAGATAAGGCGGAATAGCGCTATTTAATGATGTTTTGTTGTTAGACTAACTATAAATCTACATTATCCATGCTATAAAAGGAATTTATGAAAATAATCACTTCAATCTTTCACCGGGAGATTTGAGTGGCTGAACAACACGTCTGTGCATAAGTCATTCATAAGAGAAAAAAACAATTTTAAACAATTTTAAAACAGAACATTCCCTGTCTAACAGTAATACTTCAGCCATGGTGCCGCCCTTCCTCCAGCAGGCTAAAGTAACTCCAATATTGATTTAGGTTTTTCAAAGATTCAATTCAGCATTTGATTTCTCCCAGTCTGTCTCGTGACCGCTCGGCGCTTATGCAGACGAGCACGCGTGAATGGCGGATCTGCGTAAATAGATACGCAGAAGTCCGAATCTACATTAGCTGACAGACAGTCTGAGCTGCTTTTCAGAATTATGAGAGATGTCGGTCTGACAATATTTAATTGGATGAACATTTTTTTAGTTTTATGCTTTACCCAAAATATAAAAATACATTTAAACACATTTAGATCATTTACTGTAATCATTACTATTGGACTGTGAAGAGACTTTCAACCAGCACAACAAAAAATGTTTTTGAAGATAATCACCTACTGCACCTTTAACTTAGTAACAGATAATAATATGAATTATTAATAAATAAAATAAATTTTTTATTATAATAATAAATTATTAAAGATAGAAAACGACAAAAGAGCTGGTCCAGCCACAATACAACAGCGCCAGTCCACTCACCACACACCAGCTATGTGGAGTGGAGAAAAAGTGATTATGCCAATTCGGTGGAGGGAATTTGGCCAGGACACCGAGGTTAGGTCACCTTTCCACTGCACACAACATTTGGACATGACTGTCTGAATACGCCCTCTTGTGGCAGTCGCACAGAATTTTCAGTTGTGTCGTGCACCATGGGAGAGAAGCTGATTCTCTCTGTTTCCGAAATAAAGAATTGCAAAAGCAAGAGGCTTTATTCTCTGTCCGTTCACCGTGGTTTAATGAATGAATGAATGCTAGAAACTCATATACCACTAAACATTTTGGAGGGAATGTGGAGACAACATTTAAAAATAATCAATTTTTTTATTGCTTATTTATGAATAGAAATGTCTTCTAATATAAACTTTTTTTCTGATTAAAAAAATACTTTAAAAATCCACTATTTCTCATCTCGCGCACACGGATCTGCTTAGACAACACTGGAATACATCACATCCAGTCAATGAGTCGCATACGGTGTAGTCGCAGGAGTTTAAATCTTTTAACGAATCCGCAGCTCGAATAGGATCCGAATTTTCCGCGTACGGAGATAATCGAAACTACCTGCAGCTCTCGGACTACTCTCCATTTGAATGACTTCTAGTCTGTTGCTTGTCGTTTGTCATGTGCAGTGGAAAGGTGGCATTACACCCCTACTCTTTACAAGAAGTGTGTGTGTGCGGCACATGCAAAGAATGTGATTTTAAATGACCATAGAGGGTCAGGACCTCGGTTTAACATCTCATCCAAAAGACGGTGCTGACAGTATGGTGTCCCCTTCACTTTACTGGGGCAGTAGGACTCCCACAAACTGCAGGTTGAGCACCCCCTGCTGGCCTCACTAACACCACTTCCAACAGCAACCTTGTTTCCCATGTTGTCTCCCATCCAGGTACTGACCAGACTCAGCCCTGCTTAGCTTCAGTGAGTAACCGATCTTGGGCTGCAGGGTAATAAGGCTGTAGCAAGCAAAGGCAATTTATATTCCAAGCAGAAAAAAATACACAGTACCATTGATAAAAGGTTAGAAACGTCCATGTCCTTATGAAAATTAACAATGTTTGTATATAGTAAAAGTGTAGTAACTATGGTTTTTGCCATACTGACTACCATTTGAATAACAACTGTTTATCATTACATTAATCAACTGGAAATTGCCCACATACCGTAATTTGGGGATGTTGCCTAATTTGAATGTGTGTGTGTTCTCCAGAGACAGATGCACTGCAGGCTCCACAGCCACTAAAATATTGCAATTTTCCTCTAAACAGTGACATATGGGCCTATTACCCTGGGCTTAACCTCCTACACTGCACACACCATTTGAGGAGTGGGAATGATTGTGTGTCTGTTTCCAGTACTGAAACTATATACCGCTAACAAGAGGGAAAACGGGAATAATTTATTGCACACCCTTATTGTTGTCAAACTCATGAATTACTGGATTTCAAAGCAGCATTCTGTGATCTACTGTGCTTTCTAAAGCGATACAGTAGTTCACAAACAGTTGTTTTTAAAGGGGGGCAATTGTTGTTCATTTATATATTTTACTTTTATGAATGAACAATCCACAATCTAAGCCAAAAATCTTCATTACGGTCTGCTAAAGAATAAAAAGCATTAGCTAACTATTTGCTCAATTTGCTAACAATTCTAGCATCAACAGTAAATAACGACTTGAATAAATGAAGACAACAGTGTAAATGTCTAGTATGATCGTCTTTGATCACTTTATATATTTTTGTACACATAATGACCACCAGTTGTTTCTCAGTGAGATTGGTGTATGAAATGTTTATGCTTTTTTGTGCGTGCTAAAGGAATATGTTGTTTATTATGGGTAACTTTCAGCCCTGTTTGTCCTCAGAGTAACTTAGTATGGGAGACAATATCCTGGAAAACATTTTCACTCAATGAAGCAAATCACTATGTTGTCCTTGAGATTCGTTGTTAATGAAAAGCAGAGTCTATAAACTACTTATCTGTTTATATTGTGCTAGGACATATCACTCGCTCAAATCATCTATTGACAAGCAACACAAAAACATTGTTTTGATGTGAAATGCCTCTTTTTTTCCCTGCCAGAAACACTTAGAGGACATTTCTGATGTTTGACTTCTCATTGAATGGAAACTTCAAGCCTTAAGGGACTACGATGGAGGACCTCCAAACAAAAGAGGTAAAAAAGTATCAGACCAAAAAAGAAGAAACAGATTGCAATGGGCCAGATTGTTCAAATAGCAATGACAAAGAGCAAATCAGAAAAACATCACCTCAGTTCAATTCTTCCAACGAACACTCGATGAATCTTGCTCTCAAATTGGCCACGTCTTTTCTAAACTGTGTCTGTCATGGAAACAAACCTTTTGTACTTCCTGTTGACCATAAAATAAGTAAGGATTTGCCTGCTGAAACAAGACCAGCATCCAGGACTGTGTCTGATTCGAACACAATCTCCTTGGTCTTAGATCAGTGTTTGAACTCTCAACTTCCACCTACCTTGCACTCTTATCCATTTGACAGTTATCAGTCGAACGAAAACCTGCTTTCAAGTCAATCAGAAGCTTTAGATTACAACACAGACATCTCAGTGTTTCAAGGTCCTAATATTGGCACACATTTACAAAATTTAGTACCTTCTCTGAGCAATTATGCTTCATCAGATTGTCAAATGACTGGCCAACAACAGTCTATCCCTCTAACTTCGAACGTCTTGCCATATCAGTCTGTTCAGCCGAGTAATACACCAATGACTTCATTAATACCTCCAGCCACTTTGCTGGTTCCTTATCCACTTGTGTTTCTGTTGCCAGTCCCATTACCCATACCAATACCAATCCCTATCCAAATCCCTCAAAGTTTATACTCAAACACTATAGTTAAACCCTCTAGAACTGATTCAATGATTGACAAAAGTACACAGATCTCGTCTTCAATATCTTGCTGCACCGATATCATGTTTTCACAAACCCCATCAGTTTCTCAGGACGAGGTGCTTGACCTTTCTTTTAAGACAACTCTGACCAAACATGAACATCCACTATCTGCTTCACCAAACTTGCCACTGGATCTATCTGTGGTAAACACGAATACTAAACATCAGGATCATTGGCATGATGGCATGAGCGGACGATGCAAAAGGACAACTCATGAAAGCAAAGGCAATAACATCATACGTTCAAAGTACGAGGACTACAATGGCAGGACTGTGCACTCCGCTCAAACAGTCATTGTGTCGCGCACAGAAATACTTCCTTTCTCTGACAAACGGAAAGGTTTCTCACGGGACTACATGATAAACTCTGCCACAAAACCAGACAAGAGCCAGAATACTGTGATACCAGACTGCTCTAGGAGACCATTCAGGGTTCACCCTCTTTCTAGTGAACCACAATTCAAAAGACGAGGATCACCAAACATGTATGGAAACACTCCTCCATATAAAAAACATCTGGCTTCTTTTCAGCCTGGAAAATAGATGGAATGTAGACGCATGCTGCATATAATTAACTTTTGTGATTGCAGGTTATTAAAAAAAATACATATATACAGTATAAATATTATTGGGGGGGAGAAGACAAAACAGGTTACATTTAAGTAATAGTTATAATATATTTGATTTATTTATTTCAAACAGAAAAATCACACAAAACAATTCTTTAAACAAAATACATTTCAACATGGTCGCAACGGAGTGGGCTGAAGCACAAGCTTATTATTTTCTCCAGCCCATTACCACACAAATCATTTGTTTATTTCTTTAACTTATTTCTTCTTTTACTTATCTTTTTTTAACATGAGACATATCTTATCGTTTTGGCATTTTTTACACAATTTATGCTTTATTCCATTTGTACATTTACGTTTTATAAGATAGACAAACAAAAAACACAGTACTGCAAACAGCCATTAATTGAATTTCATCATACCTTTCTCATTTTGTTCTTTTTCAATCACCTCTATTCATTATATTCGATTAATAATACATATTTATACACCTTTTTAAATTGATTTTAGATTGAAGTTGCCCTTGTTTACAACCTCCTAAAATTGTGCTCTCTCAGATTATAAAGATCGCTAAAAAGTAATAAAGCTGCTTATGTATCAGTCTATACAAAATTAGGCACAAAATCCCTCTATCAACTCATTTCCAGACTATTATTAATGTATTGGCAGTTTATTTGTACTTATAAAATACATATTGCATGATCTTATTCTAAATGCCTACCTCACACCCCTACATTCATCCCACCGAATATCTAACTACTCCTTAAACCCAACTATTACTACTTCATAACTATGAATAAAATGCAAATTGGTAGTTTGAACTTAACGTTATACAGTACTTAACGGTAGGTAAGATTCAAGAATCACACTTTAAAGTAAAGTGTGACCAAAAACTGTATCAACTATAAAAGCACAATAGCTTACACTCAAGATTTTTTCCCAGATGATGGACTCTGACAGCCAATCAGAATCCATCCTGTGTTAAAAAATAATAAGGATCTAGTCTGCTGTAATGAGCTTGAGCTTTTAAAGCAGCAGACAACAAAACTGCAGGTTTCAAATATTTCCGAATGATGCCCATGCATGGTTCAGTTGGAAAAGGTGTGCCAGAGCATGGTTCAGTTGTGCTTTGGCATGGTACGCTTGTAGTGTGGTTGGAAAGTGTGTCTGAACCCGTAACTGAAGACGCAACATCACTTTTAAGGGACTGTTTCATATGGATTTATTAATCATTCTTACTTTTTATTGAACTGAACACAACTGTCATAGTTTATTAAAGATACAAAGCCCTCACTGCATGTCAGCTGCACCTTCAGCAAACCTCCTAAAGCCTGGTTTATAGACGAATCACCAGTTTATAACCATTCAGGATGCATGCGCAGCGAGGTTGCAGAAAAAAAACACACTTTTTTACATTTCATCCTAAGCATTTAGTGTCCGCAGTTGAATTAACCATATTTAATTGTTTTTGCTGAAATCATTGCTGCAATCAAATTGAGTAATGTGTATGATTCAGCATAGCGTGAACTTACCTGATGTGAAATGAGAACTGCAGAGTCGAGCATTTTTAATTAGGTCCTCACTCCATTCAGCTCTTATGATGGCTGTTAGCCAAAGGCGTCTGTGTATTTGTCATTAAAAGCAGAGTGGTGTACAGTAAAATTTAAGTTTTCTATTTCTGGCGTTCTACCGCACAACACATGTTTGCTATTGCAACTGGTCTTTTTTTTTCAACTGGTATGCACGGTTGAACCCATGTTATGTCATGTGTTGGCCCACACGGAATCTGCGTGTGCAGAATTCCGCAGATTTTTAGCCCATTATTAATTCTGTTTATTTACTTGAGTAAATGTGTAAATCTGATTTTATTCAGTTTTCAATCAGTAAATTATTACTTTTTATTTAATATATTAACGTTTTAGTTATGATACTCTGCTGGATACTCCCAAAATAATTCTGCAAAAACCCACGGCGCATGCAATGTGCGTACCATGCATTTATACTTCTGCGCAGTGTTTGTGTTGCTCTACAATAACATTTCTGAAATGCTAGCTGGCAGTAGGTTATGTTCTTCTGCGTTGAGTTTCTTTGCTGGTGTTTTGCCGCACTTCAGCACGGTACAAGGCAACTGTACCTAGTGTGAGTACACCCTTAGTTATCCTTCATGTTGTAAATTGGTCATTAAGTGTAGTGCAAAGTGTAGCTGCTGAAACATGTATAAGCCAAATTCATTAACATACTGTATGTCATACATGTTAATAAATTATTTACACCAAGAAAACGGAAGCTCTAGACCCAAATTAAACCTGTACGTTTCTTTTGGGCAAAGTGTAACATATTTAATGAGGTAATGCCTTTCCAGTGAAAATACTGTGAAGCATGACAACTTTATAATGCAATTATTTATTCAAATGGTAGAAAAATGTTCAAATAAGTCAATACAAAACTTTCGACCTGAGTATAAGAGCAAAGTAAATACAGTGTATCTAAAAGGAGCTAAAATGTATGCTTATAAATGTGTATTATAACAAAAGGCTCCAAAAAATGATGATCAATTATATAAACATACACAATGCACTCAAAAAAGGAGAGTTTCTACCTATTAAATAACAAAATGATAGAACACTGAGCCAAATTCACATCTGTATGATACACACAAAACAAAAGAAACACATATCAGGGATTGCTGCATGCTCTGCACATCAATCTCATTCACCATGCAGATAAACCTCGGAATTTCATGACCATGTGACGTTTTTATGTGTGCTTCATGGGGGTCTCCTGAAGTGCTGGTGTGGACATATTCAGTTTTTAGAAGGAATAAAATGGTAATGAATTATGAACAGATGAAAATGTATTGTACAAATGTCCTGAGTGATTATCTCAAGTTAAACAGCCATAATTATTAGTTAGTAACAGTAAGAACTAAATGTTTGTGCTATCAAAACTGGTGCATTTTATAGACCATAGCAACACCATTTTTGGCTTACATAATTAAAACCAACATTTATTGTTTCTCTGCTACTTCGTGATACAGCAGTAGAGTTTGAAATATGATTATGTATTTCAATTCCAATACTACGTCAAATGGTGAATAATGAAATGAAATTAGATTGACCAGCACCAAAATCCTTCATTGTCGATGTCCAAAGCATAATGTCCAATACATCTTAATCAGACGTAAAGTAAAATATAGTGGAAATCCAATGTTTGATAAGCTGTCAATGTGTAGATAGTACAGTACATAAATGACAACACAGTCAAATCCTTTGGGATTTTAGCTTCGTCCACCATTGTCTGTAAACGCAGAGCATTGAGGTACTGAGGTTTGTAGCTGCAGCTTTACACTGAACTTTCTAGAAGAGACAATCAACATCCTTGTAGCAAATGCAGTTACACAATATCCATTCATAGTTCGGCCGTTTGGAAAGTCTTGTGATGTTCATTTTTGCATTTGTTTTGCCACCGTTCAGTTTAAATACCCACCATTTAATCCAGCGGTTTCAAGTCAACATGTTGGACCTTTGACTATAATAATAAATAGCCATGTATCTTGAGCAAAGTGTATAGTTATCGACTCAAAAACTGAGCGAACCTATGTCTTCCTTTAGTGGATTTGCTGTGTTATTTTGTGCAGAAGCTCCAGCATCTATTTTGTTTGTTTGAGTTTCTCGATGTGATGGCAAAGTTTGAGAGCAGGCCCCAGTTTCAGCCCCATGTACTTCATGATCATGTCACTCCGTAAAAGCATCAAAGCCTTGCCATCAATCTCCTGTGGAAAAGCAGAACAATCAAACCATTTCAATAATTTGCAAGTAATATAATCAGTGGTGTAAAGTAACAAATTACAAATAGTCAAATAACTATAATTGAGTAGTTTTTCTCAGGAATTGTAATGTACTGAAGTAGTTTTAAAGCTATTGTGTGCTTTTACTTTCCCTTGAGTACATTTTTAGTGCTGTATCGGTAATTTTACTGCACTATTTTCCTTTAATCTGCAGTCACTACTTTATTTTTAATGGTCTATGGGCATTGTTAGAGTAGAAACACCGGTTCTGTGATTCCTGTCCAAACAAGATCACACATAGTAACTAAATTGCATCATACAGAACCGACCTCAAGATATGGACGCTTCATAAATGCAGCAAACCATTTGGAAGCATTAAAAGTATCCAAGATGATATTCAAAATCATTACACGCAATGACCCAGAGTCCCAGAGAATGAGAGAATGACCCACACAACGTTTAGATTGCCTGTTACTGATGAGAAGATGAAGGATGTTTATTCTATGATGACTGAAATTACCTTAAACAATAACTAACTGCATTACAAAATGTTGTTTTCACACACATACAAATTGAATGTAAACGCATCAGTCTGTCACAGTGCAATACTCACTACTACTGAGTAATAGTTTAAGTAATAGTAAGAGTTTTAAAAGGGCTACTTTTTAAGCTGCGGTCACACTCCACTTTTCGCCCCATAGACTTCTATTCATACGCATGCAAATGCGGTAGACTGGAAACGCAAGCTTGTACGACACAGTTCGCTGCATTGAAAAGTTCAAGCTTTGTGAACTCTACAAAAACTCTGCAAAATCGCATCACATGGCTGCGTTAGACCAATCCAAGATTAAAACATGACCTCTATGTACAGTCATTTAAAATTTGGACCAGTCGCTCACTTTTTTAAATGTCTAATCAACTCGTTTAATTCCACCTCTTTTTGCAGCACTGTATGACAGAATTTTGCGTGCTCAAACTCTAGTGTGACCAAGGCATTACTTATGCTTAGAGTAATATTTACAACAGATTCTTTTACTCTACCTGCACTACATTTTTGGGGAAGTAATGGTACTTTTACTTGAGTGATAATTGAATGCTTCTAAATCTATGCGCATTTACAAAATAAAAACAAAACAAGAAAATCATCTCACATGTTTCCTAAAGAGCTCTGCATGTGGACCCAGTGCTTGTGGATCGGCATCTCGCACAAATTGCATCACTTCCTCTATACTCCAGGATGATGGACTCTTATTGGATGTTTTAGATGGATCCTTCTCTGTTGCTTGATGGTCAGGACCAGTTGTTGAGCTTGCAGCTGGAAAACACAACACCATTTAAGAAAACGTGGCAAAAATATAATGTTTGAGAAAATCTAAATAGAGTTGAAGTCGGAATTTTTTTTCACCTAATTTCTGTTTAACGGAAAGAAGATTTTTTCAACATTTTTAAACATAAGAGTTTTTATAAGTCATTTGTAATAACATATTTATTTTATCTTTGCCATGATGATAGTAAATAATATTTTACTATGATTCTAGTATTCAGTTTAGAGTGCAATATAAAGGCTTAACTCGGTTAATTCATTCATTCATTCGTTTTCTTTTCGGCTTAGTCCCTTTATTAAAATGGGGTCGCCACAGCGGAATGAACCGCCAACACCAGCACGTTTTTAAGCAGCGGATGCCCTTCCAGCCGCACCCCATCTCTGGGAAACATCTACACACACTCATTCACACACACTCATACACTACGGACAATTTAGCCTACCCAATTCACCTGTACCTGTACCAGTCTTCGGACTGTGGGGGAAACCGGAGCACCCGGAGGAAAACCCACGCGAACGCAGGGAGAACATGCAAACTCCACACAGAAACGCCATCTGACCCAGCCGAGGCTTGAACCAGTGACCTTCTTGCTGTGAGGCGACAGCACTACCTACTGCGTCGCCAACTAGGTTAATTAGGTTACTTATAGGTAATTAGGCAAGTTATTGTATTAAGACGGTTTGTTCTGCAGGCGGCTAATATTGACCTTAAAATGGTAAAAAAAAAAAAATGCTTTTATTCTAGCTAAAATAAAACTATTAAAACTTCTTCCAAAAGAAAAATTATTATGGGAAATACTGTAAACAATTCCTAGCCCTGTTAAACATAATTTGGGAAATATTTGAAAAAAAAAAATAGTTTACAAGAGGGCTAATAATTTTGACAAGTATTTGTAGTATTGCTCATAGCTCGAATTTATTAGGTCTGATTAATCACACAATCACATTTCATTTTGTAAAGCGTCATCTTTTATGGGTGTGAATATGTAACATCAAAAACCGTAATAGACTGATATGCCAAAAAACAACTTAGATTTATTTTCACATTTGGATTTATTTGGAAAACTCCCACTAGAGGGCACTGTGATGCATAAACAGTGACAAAATGCAGGTCTGTTCAAAAACAGCATTGTAATGCGCTTTTCTTGTAATTGCTGTAGTATCTAATATGTATACTGTGCACAGATAAGAGAAAAAAACAAGGATGACAATACATTTGTTGTCACTTTATTTAATTAGACAAAATCTGAACAAAAAACTAGGAAAAACAGCAGTTTGTTTTATTAATTGTAATAATTAAGCACTACCTGCTTACATTGGGCAGAAATGCTAAAATAATATTCTAATAGCACACAATGATTACAGCATAATCCCTCATGCCTAGGGCCAGACAGAATCTGCAGACATTTTTTTGCTGTTTCTGCACCGAATTTTGTAAAAAAAATAAATAAATAAATAAAAAATAATAATATGCGGTTTTATGTGGAATGATTTTTTCGTAACTAAAAACTTGACATATGAAATAAAAAAGAATAGCTTTTTAACTTTTAT